CCGGCTCAGGTGCCCCACCGACATGTGCGCCCCGCGGGCCAGCGCCTCGACGTTCAGCGCCGGGCGTACTCGCGGTCGATCCGGTCGCGCACCCGCCGGATGACGACGACGTCGCGCAGCCGTTGCTCCTGCGCCCGGACCCCGCCCATGACCGTCATCGTGCCAGGGCGGACCGGCACCCTCCGTGACCGGACACCGTCATCCACCCGAGACCTCCCGATCGGGGAATGCGGTCGCCGTAGGTCGCCGAGATCACCGGTCGCGCGACGATCCGCCCGGACATTTTTCACCCCATCGCGCGAGTATCGAAACCGTCGGTAATTCATTAACTCGATGGGGTTGCGCGCATTGCTTTGCAGGCCAAGGGATCGCGATCATTCTCCGCAGTCGGTACGGGCTCCCACCTGTTCGTTGTGCCGACACGGAGGGGCGCGCTCTCGGGCACGGCCACAACACATCAGGAGCAAACTGTGCTGAAGAAGGCTGGAATCGTCGTTGCGGGTTCGGCGGCGCCCTGCTCGCCATGAGCCCGATGGCGTTCGCCTCGGACGGCGGCAGCGAGATCGACAAGGACGCCAAGGGCCTCATCGCCGGCCTGAACGGCAACAACGTCAACGTGCCGGTCCAGGTCTGCAACAACAACATCCCGGTCAACGTGCTGGGCGTGCAGGTCCCGATCGAGGACGCGGCGGCGGCCAACGGCCTGACCGGTGCCCTCGGCATCCTGGGCAGCGCCTCGGCCAAGAGCGGCGACTCGGTCACCGACCAGTCCGACGCCTGCGCGCAGTCCTCCGGGGCCGGCGACAGCATCGGCTGACAGCTGAGCGAGATCCGCATCAGCGGACACGAGACGGGCCCCGGGGCGAACACGCCCGGGGCCCGTCCCGCGTTCCGGTTGCCTCGATGTGGGTGACATCTCGTCGGCGTGACAAGTCAACGTGGTTGGTGTCGCACGGTGTGGCGGCGGGATCGCACCGCCATGTGGTCCCGCCGCCGCCCCGCCCGCTTCGACCCCGGTGACGGTGACGACGATGCCCCTGCCCGAGACCTCCGGGACCAGCACGGTCCCCACCTTCCGGCTGGCGACGAACGCGCTGTGCGCGACGGCGTTCCACCGGCCCGGCGGCCGGCTCGTCGTGTGCTGCCTGGGCGCGGTCGACAGCACGTCGGCCGCCGCGCTCGGCGTGTTCCTGCAGGAGCTGTGTGGCCCGCGAGGAGCGTCGTGCTCGACCTGTCCGGGGTCGACCATCTCGGCACGGCGGGGATCGAGGCACTGGTCGCGGTCCGTCGCGGCGGGGCCGGTTCCGGTTCCGCCGCGCGGACGCACCCGGGCGGTGCACCGGGCGCTGGCCGGCAGTGGCGCGCTGACCGTGCTGGAGGACGGCTGAGGGCGCTCAGGCGTCCGCGGCGACCGGCCTGCGCGCCGTCCGGTACGGGCGATCACGCCGTGCCGGGCCCGAACAGGTAGGCCAGCACGAACGCGACGGCGAGGCTGAGCACGACCGACCCGCCGGTGGAGACGTTCGCGTAGTAGCTGACGTAGCTGCCCACCACACCGCAGAGCACGGCCACCGCGACGGCGACGGCGAGCATCGGCTCCATCCGGTCGGTCAGCAGGTACGCGGTCGCGCCGGGATGATCAGGACGGCGACGACCAGCACGATCCCGACCGCCTGCAACGCCACCACGACGGCCAGCGCGAGCAGCCCCAGCAGCAGGGCCTCGACCCGCGCGGATCGACCCCGATCGCGTGCGCGTGCACCCGGTCGAAGGCGACCAGCGTGAAGTCCCGGTGCCGCGCCAGCACCACCGCCACGGTGACCAGCCCGAGCACCACGATCTGCACCACGTCACCGTGGAGAGCCGAGCAGGTTGCCGAACAGGATGTGCGACAGGTCGGTGTCGCTGGGCGTGCGCGAGATCAGCACCAGTCCGAGCGCGAACAGCCCGGTGAAGACGACGCCGATCGCGGCGTCCTCCTTCACCCGTGACGTGCGGCGCACCAGCCCGATCAGCCCGACGG